ACAAACTGAAGCTGAATTACGGGATACATTTCCACTCCAGGTCCCATCTCGGGTTAAAAAAGGTAAATGCCAATAAATACGGGAAGAAACACTTCGGAAAAAATTGGGAGTAAATGGAATTCAAAAAAAAAAAAAAATAAGAAAAAGAAGAAAAAAGGAAAAAATAAACAAAAAAAAGTAAGTCAAAAAAAAGTATAGGTAAAAAAAAAAAAAAAAAGCCGCGATGCAGGTATTCTTGGTTTGCAGCGTGACAAGGCGCCTTTGTTGTTTATCTATACAGCGGAACCTCGATATAACAAAGTTCTCGGTACAAGGAACAATTTTCCTTACCTCAGATATAATAAGATATATGAAAAAGAACCTCGATATAACGAAACCTCGTTACAGCGAACGAATAATGACAATACGATCACCTCTGTATTACTGCCAATTCTTTTGGCCCGGCAAAACGGCCGTACATTTTCGAGTTTCCTTTTAAAAAACTTTTGTTAATGAAGTCAGCCATTAAAAAGGCCAACGGCCACATTTTTCAATCCCAAGCAGTAGATTCTTTAAAAATTTCACCCTGTAAATAAAGCCTCTCATTGGAAATTTAGAAGATTAAAGTGCCTGTGACAAGCCGCAATTTCACTAGCAAGCTAAAGGCTGTTCCTGTATTGCTTTTAGACTTCACTAAAATGTATTTTTGGTGGTTTAATGGCCCACTTTTACTATAAGTGTTTTATTTACTTAAGAGAAGTTTCAAGTAGTTTTTGCAATTACTGTAGCGGTATCTATATTCCGGTTTGGCTAATTGTTTATTAGAGAAAACAGTTGTTCAGGAAGTGCGAATGCAGACGCACGTCAATGCAGGGTGTATGATGCATTTGTCATTCCACGTAGCCGTGTATCATCACCTTAAGTCAAGAACTTACACTGCCGCGGTAATACGGCCACGCTGTTTATACCGTCAAACTTTTTTGACCATTAGTGACCTTAGGCGCTTTCCATTCAACAAAAATTCCGGTCTGAAATTTCCACTTCTGTCCAGGATCGATCTTCTTGGCTTCTTTGCTTTCTAAGTCAGGAATTTTGTTACATTTGTTATTTCTGCGATTTTTGCGATATTTGTCATGGGTGTTTTTAGCTAGCAAGAAAAATCCTTGTTATATTTGCGATTTTTGCGATATTTGCGGACATTTCGGGGCCCTCCTTGGCTTCTTCTTTTTCTAAGTCTAGTATCTTGTTAGATTTGTTATTTTTGCGATTTTTGCGATATTTTTCATGGGTGTTTGTAGCTAGCAAGAAAAATCCTTGTTATATTTGCGATTTTTGCGATATTTGCGGACATTTCGGGGCCCTTCTTTGGCTTCTTTTTTTTCTAAGTCTTGATTCTTGTTAGATTTGTTATTCTTGCGATTTTTGCGATTTTTGTTAGTGATTTTCTGACATAATTTTTTCTCAATTATTTCTTTTGCGACAATTGCGAAAAACATTTGCTAGCAAATTTTTGCTAACAAGATCGATCCTGGACATATCTCGAAATTTCGGAATTAGAAATTTTACCTGCCCAATGGAACGGTACATTCTGGTTGCGAGCGTTGGTTATTGTTCTTTAGACTGCGAGCAGCTCTCTTTTGCTCGAAAATCTGTAAGCGAGAGGATTTTAGCAGCGAAGTCGCGCGAGTTGCGAGGGCGCAAGTTCGCAACGCGCGACTCTGTTGCTCAAATACTGTCGCTTAAAGATTTTCGAGCAAAAGAGAGACTGCTCGAAGTCTAATCGTTCTTGAAAGAGAGATATAAAAGAGCGGCACTGGGGACAAGAATTACGTCAAATGGAAAGGGACATTTCGGTCTGACTGTCCGAAATGACCAGACCGGTCAAAGTGGACCACCATCAAAGCTGGGGTGCTTACCATTTGACAGAAAAATCCGGCTGGGGTGTCGAAAGCATAATGGCATAATGGTAAGCGATTTACCAGTTTACCGTAAAAATGCCACATCCGTTTCGGTTGAATCCAAAAAAGGGCGAGATTCTAACGTGAGTCTGGAACCGAGAAAGAACGGAGAAATTGGTTAATGGTAAACAACATTCCGTTTGGTTCCGGTACCAACCGGAATGAAAGAACTACCTCAAAACGTATAACTCCTCAATTTTCGGTTGGAATTTCCGAAAAGTGAACTTACCATTTACCTTCCATCCGGAATTTCCGAAATTTTCTGTCAAATGGTAAGCACCCCTGGTCCCGAATATTCCGGTCGGACCAAACCGAAATCAGTGTCCGTTCCATTTGATGTAGCATACGAAATTTCCGGAATTTTGTGTTGAATGGAAAGCGCCCTTAATCAACGGAGTTCCACTGTAACATGTTATTTCCTCAACATTAAAGAAATCGAGGAGGAGGACCAATTTTAAGTAATGATATTTTTCGGGAAAAGTTAATTAAACGAGTATTCGATTCACGAGAACGAAGATTGTAAATAAGCAACTACTAAGAAGCAAAAAACAAAAAGAAAAGACCGTCAAGTTGTTTCCTCAGACAAGAACCTTTGCTCTGCTTTGTCTCCTCTCACCCAGGTCTACATATATATTGATCCAAAGGTAAAATACAACGATATATAGCGTTTGCAGACCTCAGTAGTTTATTTCCCATACGTACAAGGCCTCAACTGTCGACTACCGTATGCTACATTCCACACTTTTTACGTTAGCTTGGGAGGCCTGTGATAAAATGAGTTTATTTTTGAGATCACGTGACTTTCCTACCCCCGTTATCGACTGGGGCTAGTTTCTTTCTGGAAGAAGAAAACAATATGGCGGAACGTAGAGAGAAAGGAAGTTTCCGTCAGCTTTCTGAGTCCTCTGCAGGCTAGGCTGCCGAGCGGGGAGCCTCATGGTTACGGGAATATAAACAGTAGAACTCTATACTTATGAGAAAAAAGACTTGATTATGTTTTGTTGGGGGAAAATCGCTGAAGGACAGCCTGGCTTAGGGGAAACGGAAGACGAGCCAGTCTTGACACCGCGAAATGTCGATGTCAGTTTTGGCTCGCTATCAGAAGTTAAAGACATTGCATGTGGCTGGGAGCACACAGCTGTCTTAAAAAACGACGGTGTTGTTTACACCTGTGGTAACAGAGAAAATGGACAACTTGGACATCACAGAGAAGGAAATAAATTAGGTTAGCATACAATGTAATTTCTAGAAGTGCGTTGTTTACAGTGTAGGGAACGTTTCAGTGTTTAATTAGAATATTTACAGCGCAGTGAGAAATTTTGATTTTCTGAAGTATTGCGTAATTAGCTTAAGTGATAATTTGAACAGCAAATAACTAGAAATTAGTGTGCACTGTTACTTAACAGAAAAACGGACAATTGTTTTAATACATTGATCAAATATTTTTACACATAGGCACTTGCAGTAATTGGTTATGACGATTAGAATGGTCAGTAAATTTTTACTAAACGTACGTGCAGCATATTAAACGCTTAAACCTTTAGTTCAACAAGTCCCAACAGTGATAAGTATCAGTTTTCTTCTTAAAATTCAAAACATAGTCAAGAGAAAAGATTATATTCGAGAATTAGCAAAAGATCAACTAGGGGAAAATGTTTTGATCTTTTATCAAATTCTCTTAATTAATTCATTAAAGGAAAAGTGTATGGAGATCAGTTTGGAGAATATGTGTGTGGATTTTAGGTCCTGAGGGACACATTTAGTTTTGTTTCCTGACTCTAACTACAATGTTAAAAACATTATTTTGGGGGAAACAAACTTAACTAGTTTGTAGCCAGGGACCAGTAATTAAGTGATTTGTTTTGTAAGTTGTAAATACTTGAATAGGCAGTCTAGCCTTTAAATGCAAACCTGCTATAATCTTAGATCCAACTTGGGTATTTTATTACAGCCAACCAAAGGTAAGATGCTAGAAAAACTGGGCAAGCATGCCTTTCAGGCGGCAGCACCACATTTAAGGAATGAGCTGCCTTTACAACTTCTAAATATAAATTTCCCTGGAAATTTTAAGAACTCAAACAGGACATTCTTTTTTACACAGTTTTTTTGAGAAGTGAATTTCAGTTTGCAATATATCGTTATGTGATTTTAATACTAGTTATGAGTTACATTATTAGATATGTGTTTTTTTTTATTATTATCAGCTTTATGGTTTAACAATTATTCGCCGAAGGCGAAGTTAATATTGTTGAATAATCCCCGAGACGAAGTCGAGGGGATTATTCAACAATATTAACTGAGCCTGAGGTGAATAATTGTTTTAGTATATTCACACGAAGTGATCTCAACAGAATCAGAAAGGAAACCATTAAAAAACCATTAGTTTGATTGACGGGTGAAAATTCATGCGTGAACACGAAGCCGTAAACAGTGGATGCGCAAAAGTTAGATCTTTACAGTATCTTCAAACATGGCAAATGATAGTTTTAATCCTTTTGTATCGAGTTTTGTAAGCTTTAGCATCAACGGTTTAAAAGAAAACGCCGAAAATTTAAATTACTACCCAATTCTGAGAAGAAAAGTATCTAGAGCTTTATTTGTTTCTGTCAACTCACCGTGAATGAGAAAGTTTTCTTCGTCGCTTCTTGCAAATGCTGTCAACAGCGGCTGCGATCAAGGTGAGCGTTGTTTATCTCCAAAGTTCTTTGCCTTGTTAACTTGCTGGCACGTACAATTTTCGAAAATATTTGCCTTCCTCTCTTCTCCATAAATTAACTTCTATTTATAGGCAAAATTGGTCTTGCGAGAAAATCCCGAAATCACAAAACAGTGACAAAGCGACCTCGTTTTCCTCTGAAGTGGTAAACATAGCTTCGAGCGTACAAAAAGTCAGCTAAAGTAAACCACTTCACAATAAATCACGCTGTTTAAACACCATGAAGTCTTTTCTTGCCTTCAAAGTCATCAGCACTTGGATATTCGTGTATTTTCAAAAAGGTTTTACTTTGAAACTTTGGCAAAACACCCAGTTCACGACAGCGATTTTGTTCGGCTTTATATTCA